CCACTAATCATTGAAAAGTAGTATAAATAAAACAAATTACTGTTGATTCAATGGAAGTGCTACTACAATGGGTCAAGCCGACTAGCTAGGAAATGGCGCGCGCTGAGCAAATTTCTGCGTGTTCAGCCATTATCCCAACCAACGATAGGGCGTGTGACGGGAAGTAGACTGGAGCTTTTGCCACCAATCGTAGCGGGCTCAAGATGGCATCACGGATGGAAAAAGCTACAGTAACTGCGCTCCAATCTACGCCTCGTCATGTGCCCTTTCGTTTGTAAAGATCTATAGCTGCTGCTCAGATCCCTGATCTGCAGAAGCGGGTGGAAAGATAAACTCCTCCACTTCCCTTGCTGGATGTGTTGATGCACCAACCTCCCTAAGTTAGAGAGATTTTATAGATACATATTATCTGAATTGAGTCTCGTTATTTTAGAGAAAAAGGTGCCTCATAGAAACAGAAGGCTTGGATAGGTGGGGGTTCATATCTGTGGGGCCATTCACACAAGGCTAAGGCGGGTTATTGCGAGCAACACTGATTTCACGGTCGTTTTCAGGAATATAGACCTGAATGCATGTCGAACCAGTTTCTCCCATGCTGACTCACGTTCGGCTGATTCGGTAGCGATTATGAGCAAGAACGACGCAATTCGACAAGAGTATTTCAAATTGAAATCTCAGCTGAATCCAGGGAAAGTTCCACGGAAGGAGCCCAATCTCCTAGAAAGGGTGAGAGATACGGAATTAGAAAAAGCGAGCTCTCAAATACCACTTATACGAGCCCATTAATGGAAAAGGCTTAGATCTGAAGTTGTGCACAGCTTGCTCTCCTATCCTGTCTTGCTGGAGACATCATGCCAAGCTGGCTCGGACCAGTTTGGTGGGGGCATTTTGCTGGTTCTTACCGATCTTTCCTGGTGCTTAAGAGACCTCTAAATTTCTATGAATCTATGGAGTAGCAGGATCTTCGACGCTTGAGAGGGGGTTTCAGGCCTGACCAAGGTGTGGCATATTAACAGGAACCAGCAGAAGTGCAGAATGCCCTCCCCAAGCGAAACAAGCGCCGCCAGTCTCCTACCGTAATATTCGGCCGTTTTTTTTTCGCTCTCGGTGCTTGTACGCTGGATAATAGTTGCTCGTTTTTCCACGAATAGCTGATAAAATCAAATGTGAAGGGTTGATGGGGGTGATATAATCATTCCAGAAAAGTACCGGTCAATCGAATTTCTACATGCTTGGTCGGGCTACTAGAGCGGTGGAGATGACTAGAGGTATGACTTCATGTCTGTGATGCCTTTCGTCTCTCTATGGCTGCATTTTCAGGAGGACGTGAAGGAAACAACGCTTTTCTGAAATACGAATCCGCTGCCGGTAGCAGTTTCGGCGGCGTGGAAGCCTTGATTGAGAGCGGAATTGGTTATAAGGAAATCGTGAAGCTTTCAAAGGAGCCCAATCTTGATTCCAGTGAGTTGTTGCTGGCCAGGTGTTTACCGTTTTACCGTTTAGTTGGGTGGGTAAAGAAGTCCATTCCTGGTGGCTGAACAGGTGGCCGCACAGGCGATGTGTGGAAACCGAACAAACTAATTAGGTTGTTCGCGAATGATAAGCAGGCGTTTGAGTAAAAGAAAATTTCTTTTTTATAAAACGAAATAAACAAGATTAATTCAAAAGATAATCTCCATTACTATCAATGACTTGTTGCCAACGTTTATGCAAAGAATGGATTCCTCTTTCGAAGAACTCGGCCGGCTGCGACTCAAAGTAGTTGGACACCCAGAGTTGGACTTCTTCGCGGTTTGTGAACTTTCTCTCGGCCAGGGAGTGCTGCATCGACCGGAACAGATGGTAATCGGATGGTGCCAGGTCTGGGCTGTATGGCGGATGAGGCAGGACTTCCCAGCCCAATTCCTCAATTTTTTCCAAAGTGATTTTCGCGACATGTGGACGAGCGTTGTCGTGGAGGAGTTTTGTCGACGTCGTTTCGACACCTTGACGACGCAGTAAGAAGAGAGAAGAAGTAACTTTTTTCTTTAAAAAAAACGAAGTAGACATAGACAAAAATATATCAAAAGATGCACAATTAAAAATTTCTTTTCTAATAGCACAAAACTGTTTCGAGGAATCTTCTATAGTAGGAGAGAAATAAATGGAGCATAATTCAAGACGGCGCGTTCTTTCCGACCACAACCTAATAACTCTGCCTCTGGTCAAGGCACCCCTCCTCTCATCGTAATAGAAGGGGGCAAGGGGCTCGGTCATTGAAAAGCTCAAATAGTGTAGGCCTCCGCTCATCTCCTCCATTTCTGGTTACCATGGAAATGTTTCTCGGTTGCCAGTTTGCTGCGGACGTTTAATGAGAGTTTTCGTAGTGGACCATCTTTTCATCTACAGTGAAGTGTCTAGCGCTAGTTGTGGTAATTTCCTTTGCGGGCGATATGCTTGTGGCTTACGCACGTGCAGACGTAGATGGATAGTGAGTTGGGCTGGGAGAATTTCGTTCTGTAAACAGCGTCCTAGTGAATCAACGTTTCTCATGTGCTTCATAGGTGATATACCAAGGAATTGGGAGCTACTTTGGTTGAGGTAGAGCTGCAGTAGATTTTATCCCAAGTTCAGTATAACGGGTGTATACAGTACCCCGGACCTGGAGAATCAAGAGCTTGGCTCCCACTTACACAGCTCGACCCACGGTTTGAGTTCCAGGCGCAGTTTTGGGATACTGTATCGCCTCTTATCCAGAGTTTCAAATTCTTGTCAGCAGTAAATCTTTATCTGATTAGGCCCCACCTACTTTCTTATTCTTAGCACTCTCTCAACGAAATGGTATTCCAATTCCAAGAGCATGGCTGACGGCAATGATTGCGCAAAAGGGTGGGAAATGGGCAAACCCAGTTTGAAGAGAAACAGTAAAAGATAGCTATTGAGTTTTTTGTTAGTAGGTATAAATGTAAACGGAATGGACGGTATGGTGGTGGTGGCGGCTCGAATGGGCTTGAGAGAGTTGGCCAGTGCTCTTGCCGAAGGACCAGCTCGCTGTAACATGAACGATCTACACAGGGAAACACTGAAGTGAGAACCTTTCGCTTTAAATCTTTTTCGCTCCGAAATTTCCTATTTCAGGACCGGTGGCACATTGCCAGATCGTATTCTTGGAGTATCAGTGCTGAAAAAAGGCTTCAATAATGCCAATATCACACCGCTTCACACAGCTGCAATTAATCCGAATGTTAAGGTTAGTGGACCTCTCCATTCAACAAACAAGGACGAAAAGAGTACTGAAGAACTTGACTGAGGTTAAATGGTCCGTTCCACCTCTTGTTCAGACTAACCAATGTGTTACACTCTTGTTCGCTACGGGTGCCAGGTGTCAGGGGGCTGGATTTGGCGCGGCACCAGCCGGTTCTCAACGAGTTGTTGAAGCGGGGCAACCAAGAGCAATTGGTGGGAAACAGAGACACAAGGCGACAAAGACACGAGAGATCGCAGAAGATAGCGAGACGTTAGGCATCAAAGCATTTGGCGATCATGCTTATTATAGGGCAGAGAGGCGTTTGCTGACCATGCAGTTGCTTGCAACATAACTCTCCTGCTCCCTTTGGCTGAAGAAATTGGTGTAACGCCTACGCCTCATCACATCTGGCTGTACAATAGGACTTCTCTATCCACCGTCTAGGGCTGTGAATAAGAGTTGCTTTACAATGAGAAAAGCGCAGGGCTGTTAGGCCTGGCTCCGCCCACGCCAACAACGTGGAATGCGACTTTAATTAAAACCACAAGATATTAGTAGGCGCACTTTTAAGGTATATCAGGGG